TCCCATTCTAAGGCTTCGTTTCTGGTAGCAAGACATTAGAGCTACAGCAAAGCAGGATTTTGCTTGCTTGTTTTTTGTTGGCGCCTTGGCACCTTCCCATTTGTTTCCACCTCCCTCCCCCCAACATGTGGCCCTGAGGGCTTCTCCAAACAGAACCTTGGTCCTCAAGCTTAAAGCAATTCCTCATCAGGGGCATGTAGAGCTGTATGCTTGCCGAATTCCAAAATCTTTACCCCCAAAATTCCAGAGAACATGAATGGACACGCAAATGATCGTTTAACACCATAGAGATAGTGCAATACATAGAGCCAGTGTGCAATAATTTATAGACTAACTGGCTTGAATGGGAAAGGTTGAAGCTCAGACTCTACATCACCCATTAAACTTGCCGGATGGTGAATTCGGGCACACAACTGTGTCTTAGTCTAGCCCAGCCTTTCCTAACCAGGAGATTGCCTTCCCAACAAGCTCCCATCATCCTCAGTCTATGGAGATAGCTGGCTGAGCCCATGTCACAAGACTGAAGCAGAAGTGCACTTTAGCCCTGCCTTATGCTCAAAGCTCTTTGTCGGAAGGGCAGATCACAAATGAAAGAAGCAAGCAAACATGTGGCCAGCCACTGCCACTTATCCCGCGACATGCTATTTTTAAATGTAGGAGAAGGTGAAGGACAGATCACAGGGAGCACACTGAAACAATGGCTGATGCCATGAATGGGAGGGTTGTCAGGCGCCCTGGCTTACGAGGGACCACTAAATACAGCTCTCTGTTTTGGAGAACTGGCAGAGGGCAGTGCTCTAGTGGAAAGAATGTTTAATTCAAGTCTGGTTTCAAGTCAAACAACTATAGGAGGGAGACATCAGCAGTGCTGAAGTTGCCCATCAGCACTTAGCACCTGGCCAGCTGACTGAGCAGGAACTCAGGTTATCAGGTCAGCCTTCTCATGGTGTATTGTGTTTTATTTAAACTATACCTGTGATTTCTTAACTTGCACCCATGCATATGCATAGTTGCATATATAAATACGCGTATGTATATATGGATTTGCATATATAAATACATGTCCTCTTGTTTGTTGATGCCATTCCTCTTTTTTGTCAACACATAAGTGGCCACCCTAGATAATGGCAGGATACCACCAAGGCTTGTCTAGGAGAAAAAATATTGAATGGCTTAAACTAGACTTTAAGTGCTGATAGGACTTGACTGGGTAGCATTGCTTCATATGAAGGTCTGGATTTTCACATAGTCTGTTCCTTTACAGAAAGAAGGTCTCAAATTACCAGCTATCTGGTGATATCTATACGTTATACTACCATAAGCCAGCTTCTTTCCTATGCAGAAATATTGGACTGGCATGGTGGAAGAAAAAACAGAACACACACATGCACACAAATGTTTGCAGAAGACCACAGTTATACACCTGGGCAGGTCAGTATTATTTTTGAACATGCTCACAATTAACACTTGTTCTTTAATGGTTAATTTTGCATGCCTCATTAGTATTCCAAATTAACCCAAGCACATGCTAATGATTCTGCTATTCAGCCTTTTCTTTATTATTACACTAATATTAGCAGTGAGGATCTGCTAATTCTGTTCAGAGCATCAATCTCAATTCATATTGAAGTAGTACAAATACTACTAAAACTCTTACGCTTTGTTTTTCTTAAATAATGAAGGACTAACGATGGAATTTCTCCTTGGGTGAGCTCCACTGAAATTAATAGGGTCTGTTCAAATGCACTACTGGATACAGCTGTTGTTCATTTGGGTGAACCCTTAAATAATTTTCATAAGTAGCATTTTGACTGATGGCGGTTGGATTTGTGCTTGCTTGCTTTTTTTTTTTAATTTCCTGCATGCGTAAATGGAATGAAAAAGCTATATTGTCAGAGGGTATATTCAAATTTTAAAAAGGTTTCCTAAATCTTTTTGTATCTGAAACAATGTTCACAAATTACATGTTCTGGACTCAGAAGAACGCTTGGCGTCGCTTGTGAAAATTCCCTTGGGTTTTCTGACCAAAACCTGTTTGCACTCATGAAAACCTGTCAGCCAAATCTCCACTTTACTGTTTACTCTGGAATTCTGCAACATTTGGGTGTCTCCCAAGACTGCTGCTACTACCTTCTGGTATGCTGATGGTGCTGTTTTGGCTATGTCAGCAAAGGCTCTACCTTTTTCTTCTATTTTCTTCTAGGTTACACTGGGTCTGCTGCATTATGAAAGCAATGAGATTTCTGCCAAAGACATGTTTTTCTCCCACATGGGAGGAGCTGTTTATGGCCATCATATCAGAAATTCACCACACAGACCAATGCTTCTCCAAGGAAAAAAAATCCATACTGGCAATGACATCAGCTGGGACTTTGATATGAAGACCTGTCTCATGGTGCCACCAATCAATATGGAACATCTGTGTATACCTAGCTGGTTACTCATTCAGAAGCAAGCACTATGCTAGATAGGGGTGGGGGTGGGAGTTCTCATATAAAATTTGGTGGACTGACAAGCTTCCTAAGAAGTTAATTTATGCCAAATATTCACTATTCAGGCTTTGAATCTGCACTGGATACTCATAGCTCACACAGGAAGGACTGACACTGTTTGTTTTCTGAAGAATCATCCATGATTACCAGGGTGTGTAATGTCAATAGAGTAAGCTGGGAAACAGAAAGCTTTTAAAACTTTTCTGCAAACGGGCACACCTTTGTAACCTAAGAGTGAGCCGACAGAAGTTGTCACAATATGAGCTACAGTAAGTGGCTTGGAGAACATAACTTTCAGTGTAAACTTTAACTGTTTTCTGAATATACAAGTAGAGTCCTGCATCTGATTGCCATGGGAAGGTGGCAAAGGGGAGGAGATCTTTCTTCTTTTGCCCTTCTTCCTCGCCTCCAATGATTTATGTCTTAGGAGACCCAACTCTAAAGTTAGCCAGCCAGCTGCCCATTGGTTTGAAATGGGAAGTACCCAAAGAACTGGGGTCTCCAATATGGAGTCCATGGGCAGCAAAGTATCCACAGATGCTTCCCTTAATGTCTGTCTGCCAAGGTTCCCTGCACCTCCCATTTTTCAATGTAGTACCCAGCTTACAACCACCTGCCATATTTATTTTCTTTCCCAGAATGCCATTGGGCCCTACATGGACCCAGAGGCTGTGAAATGAAGGCTTTGTGACTGGCTGCACTCACTCACCATGGCAGCCATTTTGCAAATGGACACCCTTCTTTCATGACAGCTATTTCATGATACTATTTGTGGGCCTAAAAGATTGGACACCCCTGGGCTAGACTGATAGCTGCCCAATCTCGATGGTAGTTTTGGGGCAAAAGGAAGAATCAGAGCATCCCTGGATATTGGTCTTGAAGTCATCACAAGGGCATGTCTTTGGTTCAGGGAGTGAACATGGCAGAATACAGTCATCCTGCCCCCAGGTCCAAAGCAGAGACCTGAATTTTGCACAGGTCTGGAATGGTCAGAAAATTTGAGATGGCCAAGGTGGACCATGTGCATTTGCGCTGAGAGGATACTGCTTCCATATTTCTCATGATAAATGCTACGAGAGGAAATAACAACAAGAACAACAATTACTTGAACCTACCGAGTCATTCCCAGTTTGCACAAATAGTAATTTGGAGAAGTTGCAATTTGCCTGTATTTCAAATTGCACAAGTTCCACAGCAGATATTCAGTTCTCAGCTCTTAATCCATGCAAAATTCTGAGCAATGTCATGGAAGCCAGCCCCTGTACCAGCGTCACTCTGCTTTTGGCCATTGGGTTAGAAGTGTGTCAAAAGTCCGTTGAGCTCCAACAGAATGAATTTTACTGGGCCATGCATACCCAATGGCCACATACTTCCCTTGCACGCTTCTTTCTGCTGCTTCTGGAGCTCATGGCAGCCTGAAGGCAGCACAGATGCTCAGGTTTGAGTCTCTGTAGAAATCTGGGATTTGAGGGGAAGGATTGCAGGGTTGCTGGTTTCTTTCTTGCATTTGTTTGGTTGGTTGTTTTTCTAAAGCAATGTTTCCTTTCTGCACCTAGGTTGGTAGGTGAATCTTCCTTTTGAGGAGGCTTAAAATTGTAGGGGGTGCATCTTATTTAGAGTAGAGTATCCCTTTACTAAATAGTAATGGTTGTGAAAATAATGGTTGTGTACCACTTAATAGCCTTATTTGGTACAGGGAGCTTTTCATCTAAATTAGGCTGAAAAATCGCAGATCTGTGGGCTAAATCCAGCTTGCTTCAGGTCCCAATTCAGGTCTCCAGCATTCCTGAGGTGGCCCCAATTCCTTTCCCTTGACCTATTTATCATGTGGTGGTTACCCAGCTTTTGCACATTCCCTCTACCCACCCACATCCTAAGAAGCTGGCATGGTTCTCCTAAGGCTTAATTTCTAGCTGCAAGAAATTTACACTAAAGTATGCTGAAGGGTTCAGAAGTTTTTAAAATTGCCAATCCTTTTTGCCTTTGATGGCCACCAACGGAATACAGCCCCTGAGAATTTCTCTGAAAATGAATGTAGCTCTCAGGAGGAAAGGTTCAACATCACTGCCCTAAATGGGTTGTGGAAATCCTATTGAGCTGTTTGCTCTCCCAGGTGGGTACTTGAAGGCTAGGAGGGTTCTTTGTCAGCATCACTTCTCCATGGACTGCTCAAGGGGTAAAGTCAACCTCCACAGCAACAAGCCACCTGAGCTACTCTTTCAGTACCACAGGAAAGCTCTGCACACAAAAGTGTACCAATGTTGTTAACGTCATTCATCTGCAGCATGACTGACACCTTTTCAGTATTCATGGATTCCAGAACTTGAATTAAAAAATCTTGAGACTTTAGAAAGCAGCAGTGTAGGTAAGTCAACCAAGAGTCCTCCACTGTCTTGCATGGTGGCTTGGAATAATAGAAGCTGCACATGCAGAGGATGCCAGGTTGAGTGTTGGTGGAATTGGAGCTTACTGGCAGGAGACTGGAAACAAGTTCCTAAAATGACCTACCTTGTTGCAGACTGATTCTGTTGACAGGGTTGCCAGGTCCACTTAATTGTAGGTTTGGGAACACCATAAACAATGCAAGTTAGAGTCTGTTTGCTTCCTAGCTGATAGAGATTAGGGCCAGGAATGGATGATACTTTTTCATAAATCTGAGGTTTCACTGTAAAAACAAGAAGAAAACAGTAGAAATTCAAGTTTTTGAAGAAAAAAATGCATCTTCTTGGCTTCTTAGACTACATGGTAGAAGCTAGTCCATGGCCAACATGGTTTTCAAAGGGTCTGCTCTAAATCTGGGTTTAAGCCATTGTCTCTAAAGTCTAAAGGAATATTGTTTTAAGTACTGAAGACTTTGACAAACTCAAGCAATTCTACCGACTAAGAATTAGATCCCTGGCAATGCAAACTTATGCATGCCTGTTATTATTGTTGTTTTTATCATCATCATCATCATCATCATCATCATCATCATCATCATCTCTATATTCCCTAATAGCTGAAGCTCTCAGGGCTTTTCATAACAGAGAAATAAGTTCTAATAACTTCAATGAGACTTGCTCCCACTTAATGCTTGCTGAATCACAGCCTAAGTCATGTGAGCCAATGAGACTGCTAACCCACCATTTATCCTGAGCATGACTGTTAAGTTTTTTTGTAGGTCCCATTTCCGGGTGCTCAACACTATAGTGTAATTTCCTGCATCTTCTTCAGCCACACGCTTTATGATGAGTGAATATCCTTTAATTTTATACCGGGCACACATTTCAGCAGCAGGTAACCCATCCTTCAACCTGCAAAAAAGATGAAACCAGAATTCATAATTGTTTACAGGACTATTATTTATCCTGGTGGTGTGCAGTATTAGTCACTCTGAAACCTGGCTTTAAATTTTTTATTGAACTAGGATGCTATTTTATTATATTTGTCTTTTGTATGCTGTTGTATTGCATAAATTGTGGTTAAATGCCCAGAGAGCTTTGGCTATTGGGCAGTTTAGAAACAAAACAATCATTAATAATTATTGGAGTGATCACTAATTCAAAAGAAAGTGGCACATCTAGTACAACTGGAAAATACCCAACTACCACTTCTGAGTGGGGCAAGAAAGTGTGTGCTGTGGCAGGGACTTGTCCTGGACTGCAGTCCCAAGTGGGTCAGATTGGGCTATTGGGGCTGAGGTTCTCCACCTTGTGGTTCAGGGTGCACAACCGAGCACTAGGGACAAATAAGCCCTGAATGACCACATGGCACTTTAGTTCTCTTCCCCCACTTCTACTTCTATTGTCCATTTAGATCCACAAATAGGAAAGGCTGAAAGCACAGGTTTGGAGAACACATTAAATCTGGCCTCAGGTATTGTGAACTAACACAGCTCATGCATGTAATGAATGGTTTTCTAATCAGCCTTTATTGAAAACCCATGAATTCACTCACAGCCTCTGCCATTTGCAACTATTTAAACAAAAACAAAGACAAAAATTAGATCCAACTTGATAACATTGTTCCACATGAAAGTGATGCAAAAAGCTCCTTGCACGAGTTCTTAATATAACATACTTGAACCAAGCAAATCTCTGCTACTTACAAGTATAGAAGTTACATCAAACAAGTCTAGGAACAATGGGTCACTGATAAACAAATATGCTACTTCTCAGGGCTAAACTAGATGTGACATTGGACGTATCACTACCTGTCCAGCCCTTCTGATTCCCCTATTGGAATAACAGCTGTGAGGCTGTTATGTGGGGGCAGGGGAATGGGAATAATCCTTCCCCTCTGTTTTTCCCCCGCCCCCAAAGGTGACATCGCATCCTCTGCACCCTTAGAAGCAAATAGTAGCTTCAGGGAGTAATTTTTGTCAGGAAATACACACAGTGATTGCAGAAAGCTTAACTCCCAGCTTCCTGAAGCAAGACCCCAGCCTGGATCAGAAGTGCCCACTATTTTGGTTGCAATGGGGGAATAAAGAAAAGGAATCATGCATTTAATGTCATGTCTAGTTTTGCCCACAGTCCCCAGAACTTCTTTTCCATTTTTATTTTTTTGCCACATTTTAATGATAGAGCTGATAGAGCTGGCTTTCAGCCCATCTTTCCACAAAGCCAACTCTATCCCCACACACACACACACACACACACTGCCAAATTCATTCTCCACACCCTACGGACATGGATCCAGGCTGAACCAAGAGCTCTGAATGTAGCTGAATGTGACTATTTTACCACAGTGATGCAGAGGAATTGTCAACAGCTGGAAGACATGCAACCCAGAAAGAGTGTGGCCTCTCTTGAAAATGGTGGGAAAATGCATCGCCGATATCTTAAGTGGCCATGCCTCTATTTAGAGAGGGCAGTCCTCCAATTGAGAGGTGGTCAAAATATTGTCTTCCCTTGCATGGTGTCTTTTATTTGAAGGGTTAAAGTTAAAGCACCATCAGAAGGGAGAGCAGCAGAGGTCTTGAAAGGTGCTCATCAGCACCTGGACAGCAATACAAACATCTATGATAGAAATAATATTCAAGAGGTGGGGCCAGCAGGTGACAGCACATGTGGACAAAAAGCTATCTAATCTGGGGTGGGGATCAGATGCAACAGACATTATCAGAACCCCTGTACCTTTATTCCAGAAAGCGCCCATGAATAGCAAGGCAGAATGACCAACCAGTGATCCAGGGCTCTAGTCCTAGTAGACCCACCCTCCAACCAACTTTAACACTGCTCTGACATATGCCCTTTAAAATATAGATATAAAATAGCAATGGAAGTGAGGCCAGGCTTCTAACAAAATGAAACCACCACCACCACTACTACTACTATACAACAGAGCAAAAATGCTCATCTTTTTATACCCCAAACACACACACACACACCACAGACTAAAAGCAAACTTATCTGCTTCCATCCAGTTGCTAGGTCAGGTCTCTTATGAACCTGACAACTGATTGTACCCAAGATGAGTTCAGAGCTGTTAATTATCTCTTCACGCTGAGTGACCCCTGTCGTTGTATCCATTAACTGCTTTAAAAAAACCCAAGGAAAAATAGCCCATAGTTTGCATCTCTGGTTTGTGTGATCCTCTGCCAACAGGCATATCATTCTGAATGCCAGCAGATGTACTCTTGAATAAACATGTTTATGTCCGCTCCTACGAGTATTCCATGCCTTTACTCTAAGAAAAAGCATACTCTCATATATGTGGTTGTGTATATATTTTGTTAAAAAGTGGCACACATATCTTAGCTAAGTTATTGCAAACTCATTCCAGAGTATTTTTATTCAGCTTTTTACTTGGAGGTGGAATAGATTTAATCCTGAGCAAATATGTTATCTTTCCAAACAAGTTGCTTCTTTATGCAGAAGTAAGTAAAATCCTACCATACAACCTCTGGTGCAGGAAATGCTTTCACTTTCATGGAAAGTTGATAGGATTTCTTGCCGGATACAACATCCAGCACATTTTTTCGACGATGTCTCAAATTGATGAATGCTTTATCTTTAAAAAGAAGAAGATGTGATTAAGATAATGGGTCTGGTCAAACATAAATGCATAATACAGGGCAGCTTTCCCCATCCTGGTACTCTCTGGTATGGCCAAATGTCTGATCATGCAGGATAGAACTCAAACTGGGATAGCAATTCTTGTCTCCTACACAAAAGCCTCCCAAACATGTATGCCATTCATCATGTCACAGGTACTGCCTATGGCAACTTTATTAAGAAATAACTCCTCCAGGGTAGCCAGTGGTCACAGCACTGCTTAATTTTAGCATGCGGAAAAGACACGGATTTTTCAAAAAGTCATTGAGAATGCAAAAATACACTGCTACATGTGAATCTTAGGGCCAAGCTACACATTTTAATTTTGCAAACTGCCCAGAGAGCCTTCTGGTTACTGGGCAGTATAAAAATGAGATAAATAAATAAATCATTAAGCCAAAGTAGGCACGAAAGCATCAGGCAATTGCTATTCCATGTCACTTCTGTTTTGTTAAGTTTCATCCTTAACCTGCTCCATCATCCAATCAATTTGCAATTGAAAAAAAACTGCTCCCAGCTTCAAATTTAATTTTTTGAAGTTACATTTTCACAAGGAGATCCAAGGGTTGCCTTTGAGGTTTGAAAGTCTTACTCCCACACCAGCACCACCACGCAGTTAGCGAAGCACCTAGGAAGTCTTGCTGCTGCTGTGGCCAACAGACAGATGTTCCACATAGGGCAGCGGGTGGCACAGAACGGGATGACGAGCAATGGGCTCATCGTCTCTCTAAGGGACTTGTATGACTCAGAGAAAAGGCTGTGACAATGGGCAGTGACGCTCCCTAGCTGCTAGGACAAATGACTGCCTGGAGTGGGGAAGCAGGGCTGCCTCTTTCAGCCTGAGGACTGAACTCCAGCACCGGAATGGCCAAAGCTTTCAGGTGCCAAAGGCAAAAGAGGCAGAACAAAAAACACCAGCCTATTTCCACTTCAAGCTCGTACTGTCAGTTATTAAGCTTTAAGAGGGGCATGCCCATCTTTTAGAATGGGGCAAAATTGGGAAGCCGCCAAATGATCATTGCTTGCAAGAAAGGCAGTGGGTACAAGGAAAAAGAGTGTGGCCATCTAGGGAACCCTGTACGGCCATCCTGGAATTTCAGGAGGACCAGATTTGGCCCCAAGACTGGGGCTCTACACCCCTGCTTCACACTACCTAGAAAAACAGTATTCAAAGTGATTTCAATTTTTGGGAAAAAGTGGACTGAGACACATAACTATGCCTCAGTTGGCACAATGGTCTGGGAAGGTCAAATCAGATGGTTGCAAAATGCAGAGAAAATTCTCAGTCTAAATAAATTTTCTCCATACTATCAGGAGCAAAACAGACATGACAGGAAAGATCTATGATTAAATTTTGAATTCTTGAAAGGAGGAGGAAAGGGTGATCTAATAAACAGTGGTGGAGAAGTATGTATTTAATCCATATTTCCCCAACTCAGGTGTGTTTGACTGCAGGCCTCAACACATCAGTTCCCCTGGTCACATCCCAAAAGAGAATCCAAGAATGCAGGCAGGCCTGTGGAATCCCGTCAGCAAACCAGTTCATCAGGAGCAGGTCTTTTTAAAACTATTGAGCCTTAAATGCCCGATCAAGCCCAAGCCACCCCCACCCCAGTACTCTGCATTACACCAGGCAGAGCTCTCAACAATATACAGTTGTGGGGAAACTCTATTCTCCCAAATTTCCTGTACGGACTGCAACTCAGCTCAGGACAGAGAAAATCTGAGGTGGCTGGCAGGTGACACCATCACCCCTGCTAATTCAAGGATCCCTGTGCTTCAACCCTGTGAGCCCTGGTTCCACTACACCACAGCTCTCCTCATTCTCTCCTTCCTATGTCGGCTGCAGATTACAGGAGATGGATTCTAAGACACTGAGAGGAAAACAAGTTGGGAAAGGCTGATTTAACTTTTTTTACTGCATTATTTCATAATTAAAATTAATGCAGACATTCATATACTCTCCCACATGGAGGGAGAGGAGACAGTAAGGAAGAAGGGAAAGGACTTTATAGAAAGAAGGGTTGCTTCAAGTGCCTTGAGAGGCTGCTTTTTAAAAAGGTGTCAAAAGTTCCAGCCTCAGAGGTCTCAAATCTCATGTAGTTTGACCCTAAATTAATTCCTGCAATGAATTTATTGAACACATTTCTGCTCCACCTTTGTACTTGGAATACATGTATCAGACATTCTGTAACTCAGAATATTTCTTACCATAAATATGAACAGTTGTATTAATCAATTTCACAGATGGGCCACTCTTCACGTGGCAAGTGTACTGCCCCTTGTCAACATTACGGACTTTATCAAGAGCAAGAATACTGTAGAATAGATTGTGTCCATCATTCCTTTGTATAATGTGTTTAGTTATGTTACCTCTTTGGCTTGTCTAGGCAGGAGAAAAATATTTGCACAAAAGAAAATGTATTAGCACTGGCAATTGCCTCTTGGACTTTATTCTGGGATACCATCCAGGTCAATATTAGAGGGACCCATTTACACCAAGTGATGTACAAATGCAAGTAAGGCTACTCCACTGTTGTTTGGGATCCCAGAAATTGTTGATCTTGTAAGATCATTTCTGAGAAGGGCCTGAGAATCTATTATTTGTTGTTGATGTACGCCTTTTAATTCCTTCACTATTAACTTCTAACTATGCACATATATTTGCATATGTAAATCAGCATGTGCAAATTTATGTAATTTGTTTGTCCTGTGAGCCTGCACCCAGGATCTTTTGGGTGTTTAAGGGCCATTCCTATGGGAAACTCATCTCTGCGCAATTCCCACTAGCAATTCTTCTTATGTGGTTATCTTACTGTACTTTTAGAAAGGCAGTGTACCCACCTCACTGGGATAATGCCACGTGATTTGCACTCTTGTGTTCCATGCTGCAGTGATGGTACAATTCAGGACAAGCCTCTGTCCTTTTAATAACTTGACAGGCCTTGAGCCATTTAAGTGGACACTAAGGATTTCATTGGCTGCAAGAGAAAACAGTGAATCAGATGCTTAATCTGACAAACTGCTAAAATAAAGACTGCAGAAATTAGAAATACTTACTCATCCTGAATGTCAGGTAATTACTGCTGAAGTCACGCCCATCAATACTTGTTTTGCAGCTGAAAAGGCCTGTGAACTCATAGGTTGCATTTTGTATGATAAAACCCTTCGTACTATCCCAGATTATTGTCTTCCCATCAGGAACTATGGTTTTTCCTTTCACCTAAAAATGAAAATCATACATTAATTCTTTTTCTGCTTAGGAACTTCTTCCTTTCAGATGTAATGAATGGTTTATCTGTAAAAGGAATTTAAAAGTCCCTCAAATACAAACTATTATACTTCCTTAAGCACATAGAATATACGACTCAGGAGGTTTCCCATAACATTTTTGTTTCCTAACATAATCAAATCTTGATGAAGGGTTTGAAAAATTTCATGATTTTCTTCCATACCTTTCCCCGCAAATTGCATTATACCTAATGATGGAAAAGTTGATGAGACTTCCCACACTTAATTCCCATTTCTGTTAACAAAGAAGATTTGATCAGAAGATGTCGTAATAGTGACAGTGTCTTCAGCTTTTGCTAGCAGGCACATCACATCACATGATGGTACTTTTTACCAGCACAGATCTGAAGTAACTAACATGCACATAGAGCTTAATAGGCCAAACTCCAATGGCTTGTGGAGAATTGCAAAGCCCACTGAAAACCCTTCCCACCAGCACACTCCAAGATACTTCATGCATCATCTTAATTCAGGTGGTGTCGATACCTGATTATCCAGTGTGTCCTGAGCTCCCTTTTATTGACTATCTCCCCTTTCCCAGATAATTTGAAAAAATCCCATTTATGCATATACAAACCTCAGTTCTTGCCATCAGTTAAAATAATAAAGTGAATGGAATGTTTATGAGTCCGTGAAATACAGTAAAAAATGAATAAATAAAATTTGGGCTTTCTTTTCTTCTTCGGTGCAGTTATACAGTTTGGGAAGCCTTGAGTTTCACTGCTCCAGCATTTACAGGAGAGTCCCAGAGTGGGGGACTGAACTGGAGTGCCATGCAAATGGCTTACACATGAGCTTCCCGCTCACTTCCTGATTCTGCAGATTCCTCACCCTGAACTTCAGAGTCCTTCGTGGCCTTAACCCCCATGGTCTGTTCCTTTCAGTTCAGGATGCTAACAGTATGGGGAGGGGGGAGCCTCCTGTTTATTCCCCTTCCTCTACCTTGTTATGTCTAGCACAATTGAAGGGAAGGGGGGAAATTGTGCTTGGGCTATACATGAATGAGCAAACAGTCTAAATCCACATATGTGGGAACAGACTCAGTGTCCTCTGTGTGTATGCTGTGTTTTTGCTATTCACCTAATCTAGTTATTTCCTGCTTTAACTCTGCAATGCGCAGGGTTGCAAATAGCAAATAGAAAGGATTTGTTTTTAAATAAGCTGAAAATCTATCATTACAAACATGTAACAGCAACAAAAACTTCTTCATTCTAAGCAGTTGAGTGGAGTCAAAGGCTTATCACCTGTTAGAATTTCAAGCTAAATTGATTTTAAATTGAATTAAATTTTGTATTCCAGCACTGTCCCTTTGCTTTGGGCCCAACAGACCATTGGAATGTGGTCACCAAGAGCTTTTTCAAAAAAGAATACACCCCTCAGAATGCAAGAGAGCTTTCATCTCTGCTGCATAGAGATATAAGCTGGGTAAAATACGGCTTAAAAACCCCCACGTTGAACTTGCTACCTCCCTTCACTGTTCGCCTTTGTTAGCTGTCGTGAGTTACAGAGTCAATGGCATCCCCTCTGACTTGGGGATGGTTGTTTGATGAAGGGTAAAAGGTGAAGGTAAAGGTTTTTCCATGACATCAAAGTCCAGTCATGCCTGACTCTTGGGGGCGGTGTTCATCTCCATTTCCTAGCCAAGGAGCCAGTGTTTGTCCACAGACACTTTCTGTGGACATGTGGCCAGCATGACTAAAACTAAAAATGCTGTTAATGTCCCACCAAACTGGTACCTTTTTATCTACTTGCATTCACATGCGTTTGAACTGCATAATTCAGAAGCAGAAAATTCCACCTTCAGTTCACAGCATCTCTAGATCATAGCATCAAACAGTGAAAGGGGCATAAGAAGTCTATTGGGTCCAACCACCTGCTCAATGTAGAACTCAAGTCTCCCTTCCAAATTCTAACCAGACCTGATCCTACTTAGCTTCCAAGATCTGGCAGGATCAGGTTATACTGAAGCAATCAGTCTAGATGGGGCTAGAAAGCTGTGCTAAGGCAGCAGAGACGTCTAACTCCTTGTTCCATCCTGCACAGATTTAGTGATCACGCATTACAAGTTGTGAGCTGCAAAGGAGAGGCCCTCCTTTCATTCCATGCAATGTCCTCAGGCAGAAAAGATGTTTTAGTAGAATGAGCAGCCCTCACAGCTAATGCCACAATGATCAAGTAGAATAGCTTCCTTATCTTTACAGCATCTGCTAAGAACCCACAATCATCATTGAACTAATGGGTGGAGTGTGCCTACACATACAAATGCTGTTATTTTATAGCCTGCTAGATGATTTTCTAAAGTGTCTTGAATTCAAGGAATTCTATTGTGGTTGCAGCTGACAGATATAAACATTTCCCTTTTGTTCCTTAAACTGATTCATCACTGCATATACAGAGACTGACCATAACTGGCACGCTGGGGATTCTGGCTACTGTAAAGTTTCCTCCAAAATTATGAATGACTGCTGAAAGAAATGGGATGTAACAGCGTCCATTCTACATTTTGTAGTAAATGTAGCATTTTGTAGCATCTACGTTTTGTAGTAATTTTATTTGTCCTGGCTTCACTTTGATTGCAGATGCAATGGAAGGGGAAGGACACTTGAATTTATTGTGTTTCTCCTATCTTCCTTTTCTTTTTAAAGTTATGATTCAATTAAAGTTACACTTGGGTCCAAACCAAAACGATGGGTTAACACACAACATTCTCTTGTTAGCAGCCATAATTGTTAATAAAGCAAATCTATTAGTGTGGTAAATCGTAGGTTGATATATCTTACTGGATTTTTTAACCTAATTTCCAGAGTCATACCACTCTTAATGATGCACAGAAGCAGTACCGAAAGCTTATAAATGAGAGAAAACTCTTCTTTTTAAATAGCTTCGCACTTGATCACACACCGCAAGACAAATCTTGGTAGGTGGGAGTTTAAACTGTTCATAAAATTCCATGTGATATCCCTGGCTGAACATACAAAACATACATGCAAACAAACAACAAACCAATCCTTCAGTTTATGCAGATTAAGCAGTTGGTGTTCTTAAAGATTTAAAAACTTTACCACACAAAAAGAAAAAAAAGTGGAACAAATACACAAGATGCTTAGCTTGCATGCCATGAAGAAAAATGATCTGGTAGCTGTTGCTCCCGAATTGGTCAGAATAAAAACAACCAGAAAAGTGCTTGTTCTGCTATTCAGAATATAGTCTGTTTTCTCAGAAAGCTTAAGAAAGACCAGTGCTCTGTTTTGCACATACTTAATCCCATCAATAGGAAGATTGCCTTCAGAAAATCTTTAGTCATGGTCAAAGTAAAATGAGTCTCCTTATACATTCAGGGTGATGACCCTATTATGTTCTCCAACATTCAATGTATATGTTCAGAAAGAAAATAGAATAAGGCAGTTTAAAAACACAGAGCAAATAAAAAACTTGCTATATATCCAAGCAAATACATCCACGAGAAGTGATGAAGGAGGGAGAAGGGGTTGATCCTGGAGAATGTTTCAGAGGATGATGTATAGACCTATGTGTTAAGGCAACTTCAGCAGAAGGCTGATCAGAAGACAAAAGCTAGGCTTGGACTGCAGCTTAACTTGCTTCTCTTTGGTGCAGGAAAAGTTTGTGTTGCTTACAGTGGGCTGTTTTCAGATGCAGCTGGATTATTGTAAAGCAAATGGACTCATCCTCTGATCAGATAGGTCTTCTTCACACCTTTCTTCACTTCTCTGAGGCAGTTCCACAATAATGTGCAAAACAGAGCAGCCTTCTAACTTTCTGTCAAACCTGGAGACTCGATGCCTTTCTTCTAGTTCCAGTGATTAAGATGTGGGAATATTTGCTTTTCTACTTTATAAAGGCTTACTGAGGAAATAACAGAAAGCATGGTTTGCCAGTTTTTCAGATGTGTGGCTTCTGGTGAAGACTACTGTACACCAGAATTTTCCATTTGCTGATTTCGTTTAAGAATAGTCAAGCACTACAAGAATGGAAGTGGCTCAAGTTTATATTCTATTTGGGTCTCAGGATATGACTTGGAGAAATTTCCTAATGCATGGAGGAAATAACTATAAATAAATGACTGATGGTCACCAGTCATTTTAAGATATTTAAAATGGCTTCCACACGAGGCTAATTTATATGTACTAATCTATTCAAAATGCCTTGGGCAAACAACTTACCTGGAAATAAGCATGAAGGAATAGCACCTGTAGGCTCTGTCCCTCAACTTCCATCCATTAATCTGAGCTTCTCTGCAGAGTGTGCAAGCTGTAAATTCATTTCCCTTTTACAAGCAAACTGTATGCTGACTTTTTGTTGGCTTATGTATAGGCCCTTTGCTGAAAAACTGATCAGTGCATGAAGACTGAGGTGGGGAATGGGACCACAGGCTCCAATCACGTGCCCTGACACACTTTCTGGCCCACAGTATGCGCAGAAAGAAATGCTTAAAGCTGGTCCCCACTATGGTGTTCAGAGAACAAGGCTGATTTTTTTACTGTTCAGGGCAGGAAGGGAGAGAGACACAATTTATGAAGGATCCACCCTAGATTTGGCACTGGATTTGAAAGCAAAATCTAAGGAAATAACTGGCAATTCCTTTGGGTGTCTGTTCCTGCAAGCTGAGATATGACTTTTTTCATTAAATATGAGCACTTCCACCCCCTCTTCACCTTTGTTTCTCCTTTTGTTCTTGCTTTTGTCTCCCCCATGTTGAAATTTAGACTGTAAGTGCCTTGGGAAGCTTTGTTTTTGTTTGGCATGTTACTCTGTAAAGCATAATGTACACTGGCAGCACTGTACAAATAAATAATATGAATCTAAAAAGAAACACTTGCACAATGAAACCATCTAGTACAGTGTAGGCTTGAAACAGAACCGCTATCTTATTGCCACATATAATATTATAAAGAACTGCCTAGATTCACCATTCGGTACAGAATCAAAGAAGTTTTCAATAAGAGTAAATTAGATTTTTTTTCTGATATTGGTCTGTAAAACCATATGGCAAATGCAATTAATGCAGGCTTGCAGACTGGTCATGATTACTAAATTTCTGCCAGCTTGACATTTCCAACTCCTACTTTAAACATCTAAATGCCCTAGCTTGGGAGATAGTCATCAAAATCAGTCTTTCTTAGTTGGTATGGGTATATGTTGCTAAGGCAGTAATATCTCTCTTAGGACTATAGTGAAGCACACCTGATTATTTTCACTTCAGTCTGAAACGAGTTCTTCCTTGCAGAGTGAGGTGTGCAATGCATTTATCTAAATACAAACACAGTTCGATCGAATAAACGAAGTGCCATAGGTACAGCAAGCAAGGAAGCTTTGTGGAGGCAAAGTGCACATCTAGGTACCTGGATCAACGTCACACGGATATCTGGGGCTGTAACTCTGCATGGGATGATAAGCTCTTGTCCATAATTCATGAGTATCATTTGTGGTATATCTCGGTGCAGCTTTACAAATGGATTGCGTGTATCTGCGAAGGAGAATAAAAGTAAATTAAGCCATAGGAAATCATTGCACAAAATGCTAGCTAAGTGAAAGCAAGCTCCCCATCCAGTGGAGCGGACTTCCAAGCTGTAGAAATTATGGGAGCTGCAGTGCCCCACATCTGGAAGGTATGTACGCCAGCCAGAAATGGCCGACTTGCTGAGTAATTTAGGTCAGCAAATGAAGTTGAGACTACTGCTACGAGCAATTCAGAGATATCCAACAGGGACATAGGATGATTGCCTGACCTCTGCCCAGAAGTGCCACAATACTTTATTTTGCCCATTTTCTCTCTAGAGACTTGAGCAGCAATGTTGATAAATATTTCATAGAAGCAACTAAAGGGAGCATTCTTTCAGTGTGCTAGTTAAAGCTTTTCAGTAAAAAGGTAGAGGGGCTTTTACACCTGCAGTGTGTATTTGGCTCAGCTTTCATTTTTTGAATGTATCTAATCTGGGAGAAAAACTGGCAAAGCCACTAGATAGATACAGACAGACAGACAGACATTCCTGCAACTCTCCATGTTCTGTGCTTTAATCTGATAACCAATTGATCTCCCTGCTAGTATATAGAAAATAGTGTAGGCTGCAAACCTGTGCACATTTCTTTGAACTGTCTGCCTGCTGGAGTCAGTAAGGTTTAGTTTAGAGTATGCATACATAGAACCAAGCTGCAAAAGATTACCCAAAGCTCTATTTGGCAAGCGCATTTTGCATCACAGAATAGCCATTGAAGTAGCTCCATTCAGTCCAGTGGTAGTCAGGCTGCAATGCTTGCCTGAATACATTTTATTCAAGAGCAATTTGAATTTGCTATTAAAGAGCCCATTTGCACACAGATGCACTCCTATAACCTGGATCACATTTATTCACATATCCAAAATAGTTTCATCCCTGGATGCCGTTTAAGCTGTGATTGATATCTAGTGTCCTGTGATTGCACTCCTCTTTTTCATTTAGGTTCATTAACCAGCAAATATTGGTTATTGGGCAGATGATAAATAAATAAGCAAGCAAGCATGAATTCTGCTTTTCAAGAGAATTTTCCAAACAAACACTTCCATTACTTCATTTGCACAGTGAATTCATGTAAGCTGAATTTGGCATCATTGCATTTTTAAGCACAGAACATTTTGCTCTCATGCTGTCATACGGTGGGTCATTTCCAACACTGCACTAGCAAAAAACATGACAAGAGTTGGCACAACTGCTAGCAGAACAACTAGCAAAACTAATGTAAACAACATCTAGCTTAAGGAGGGTGGAACGGGCTGTAAGTGCCATGTGGACTGCCGTACAGAATAACTTGCTGAGCAACCTGCTCAGTGCAAAGTACTAAATCCGACACTACTGACATCAACACATGTAAACCATCCATAAACACCTGAGCCAATATACTTTTGGGCTGCCATCCTATACCTACATTCCTGGGGGTGGGCCCCATCGAATGCAGCGGGTCTGACTTCTGAGGAGGCCTGCGTAGGCCTGCGGTGCGTGGAAGGCACCAGGGCAAAGCACGTCATGTGGGCTCTGCCTCACTGTTTCAGGTGAGTTGTGCGATGGCATGAATTCAACAGGACTGCTTTCACAAAAGGCACGATCTCTCAGATACATGCATGCATTTGATTAGGCAGGGCGAATGTTTTCGTTCTGAAGGGAAAGCCTTGAGAGATTGTATTTGATGTCAGCCTGAATTTGTATGGGACAAGCAAGAACTGTACTTTTTTACAAAGCATTCAAGAGGGTCACATCCAATAAACTGAAATGACTCTTCAAAGAAGCACATTTGACCTGGAAAAGAATGCACATTGGTCAGAAAATAAAGGCGTATAGCTATTGTTATTGCCAAGGTCTATATATTTAAAAGTATCAAAAATAACCCAACATTTCCTTCACAATATGATTCAAGGAAAGACTGAAAGTTATCCTGTTTGTACTATTGTAAAAGAGATACTTTTGTTTTGGTTTGTTTTTTGCAGTGGTTGCAGTTAAAAAAAGGGGTCACCCGCTCCTTGTATCGCCAGTGAAATGGTTACTTCTTACTACTCCCTGAAGACTCATTCATCCTTGTCACAAAATAAAAAGCTATTTTCCAAACCCAGCAAACTTTGCAGAGCAGTTTCCTGTATGCATAACCTGTAGGCCATTATAAGTATGAGGAAGAGCTGCCCTAAGGATTACGGTAGTGTCTGCAGACACAGTGTCACCACTGGCTGATGCCAATAATGTACTAGCAGGGGTCATCTTGAACCTTGCAGCCTTTTTAAGAGGGACAGGAAACTGGTACAATAGGTGAAGAACATTCTCAGTTTAGCGGATGTATTCCTGCCTCTGGGCACACACCGAGGTGACAGTCATGGGCTCCTGAATGGCATTGTCTCACTCCAACAATACCAATCACTGTATCCATTTAAAAGTTACTTTTCCTTCCCATTATGAATCACACTTCCACATCCACATGCATAAAGCCTTCCAGACCATTCCACACTAAAGGGTCTACAGTCCTTCCCCTCCCACCCTCGCACCTTCACTTTACTTTTGATTAGAGATGAATATTTCTCTCTGTTGTTCATGGGCTTCTTATTCATCCTGTGTCCCAGGACATTAGCATGCAGTGTTTAATACAGTAGGGAAGTCAGGAAAAGAGAAAAAGAGAAGTCCGGAAGCTGACCTGGGGAAAAACAGGAACTGAGGGAAATTGGGAGAGATTGGTGGATGCATAAAAACTATTTTTTTCCATGGTGGACAGGCTATTGGACTTTCAAGTTCTACCCTTGTGATCATTATAGCTCTCATGAAAAGCTGCTTAGTATATCAACATATGCAGGGCTCTTACTCCTCTCATGACATTGTATTTTATTTTAAAATAAACTTTTTAAAATAGAGACAATAAAAGAAGAACGTCCATCATAATATAACAAGACTATTGAGGATCCAAGCTTATTGACTGTGCTTCCAACAGACAAACAGCTGATGTGAGCCATCCCGAGGCTATGTAGCAATGGGGACAGCATATAAAAACTTTAAATAAATAAATAAATAAATAAATAAATAGTTCCAAATTCAGAGCCCTCCCCCTTTGCTGTGTCCTGCCAACAAAAGCCAGACAGGGCAAGACAAGGTAAGACACTATTTCACCTCTATTCCCTTCAAGATACATGTGGAGGGCCATTTGTGAAGGCTGTCTATGCACTTGAGAAAGTTGGAAAATCATCTGGTACTCACTGTTCTGTTTACCTCAGTGTAAAATCAAGGGCCCCCAGTTTGGAATAGGACCACTGTAAGCATGCATTATTATAATCATATTATATTTATAAGCTGACTTTCTTCCTCTTGCAAGTAACCGAAGTTCTGGCTTACTGGACTTTCCTCCTCTCCATTTTATCCTCACAACAATGACCCTGTAAGGTAGGTTGAGCTGAGAGTCTGTGATGGCTCCAAAGTACCCAGTGAGATTCATGGCTGAGGCAGAACTAGAACCCAGGTCTCCAGAGTCACACTCCAGCATTCTTAACCACTACACTAAACTATCATTTATTTATTTATTCTTTATTATTTGCATTGATATACAAATACTAAATACTATACAAATGCACATGATACTAGACTATCATGTGAAATGCAGTTCTGTAACCACTGTACTTGGCGACATTTTCACCAGCAGCAATGGAAACCTTTTGGATACTCTAGACACAATATGCAGAAGGATTAAAATGAGAGGAGCTCCTTAAAAATACCATCAGAAGATATACTCATATGATCTGCCTGTAAAAGATGCTAACCCATGAACGGAATGCAAAATACACAAGGATTGATCCTGAGTATTAGTGGCACAATTACTGCATCCAGCAATAAGTGCATTTCAAAATCACATCAAGACCTGTGAAATCAAAGCAGAATCCAGAAAAGTGAAATAACTTCTACTTTTGACACAAAGTCTCATTCCAGATAGCATGCCTAACATTTTAAACATAATTTTGAACTCAAAACATGGTTTGTGTTTCCAAACAATCAGGCAAGCTATGGTTTCAAGCTGTTGGTTTGTTTGTTTAGAAAGCTTCTATGCCGCCGCATTCGCCGAAGCCTCGGGGTGGCTTACAACAATAAATAAATAATAACAATATAAAACAATATAATATAATTGGAGATGTCCTGGCCATAAAAATAAAATAAATAAATAATATTAACAATTAAAATGGCATTTAAATAAACAGGTCTTTGCCTAGCGTCAAAAACAAATAATGACGGCACCAGGCAGACCTCTCTGGGGAGCGCATTCCATAGATTGGGTGCCACTGCAGAGAAAGCCCTTCTCCGGGTACTCACCCTCCTAATATCATTCACAGAGGGTTCCCGGAGAAGGGCCTCTCCCACTGATCTCATGGGGCAGGCAGGCATATATGGATGTAAGCGCTCCTTCAGGTAACCAGGACCCAAGCATTAAGGGCTTTATAGGTCATAACCAACACCTTGAATTGGGCCCGGACTTCAATGGGGAGCCAGTGAAGCTGACGGAGAACTGGAGTCATGTGAACATAACGCCCAGTCCCCATCAGCAGCCTGGCAGCTCAATTTTGAACCAATTGAAGTATCCGGACCATCTTCAAGGGCAGCCCCACATAGAGCACGTTACAGAAGTCAAGTCGGGAAGTCACCAACGCGTGTGTCACTGTCTCCAGGCAGTCATTCTCCAGGTGATGGATCAGCCGAAGCTGAAAGAAAGTTTACCTTTAAGTTTTTTGTTCAGCCCTCCTATTGCTAGATAGACTTAACACCTCTTGATGCAGAACAATGTTCTTTGGTTTACCCATGCTGATATTCCATCAAACCATAAGTAGCAGAGATCATGTTTTGCAAACCACTTTGAACCATCATGTGTAAATTCAAACAGATTTCCTTAGCTAGGAGTCTGTTGATTGAAACTAGTTTTCCTTATATAAGAAGCTAGGATCACATGATGATCACAGAATTATGACTGGGAAAAACCTTTGAGAAAAAGCACGAATTGACTGTGGTGTCCCAAGTACCAAGCATACTATTGTGTATTATTTTAATACAATATAATAATAATACTTTTAAACTGACAGTACTACATATGGAATCTAAGGCAACTTTCCACAGATTCTCCTGTATGTGCACAAATCTCTATTTTAATTCCTTTGTTACATACTAAACACTGACTTTAATGAATTCCAAAATACATTTATAAACAGCTACATAGGTTTAGTTTTTTTGTAAAGAACTAATTAATTCCTCCAACAATAAAGGGTCTGATGTCCCTTATACATATAGACCCCTAAAGATGCTACAATTGAATATATCATCACCTAGTACTAGATGGTAACAATATCTAAGCTGGAGTTATGAAAATGATAAAAAGTAATTACCCAGTCCTATTAACTTATTGAAGTATAACTTCCACTATTAGCCCAGTTTGTCTAGTGTATACTAGAGACATTTTTGTTTTATCTTTCTTTTTTAACAGATTGTCTGTTTTAGTGTACTGAAAGGTTTTGTTAACCTTTTTTCTATTTGGTGCATACTCTAGAGATCAATATAACTGCAGGAAATGCAGAGTATTTAAAAGCCAAGGAGAGGTGACTTCCTCTATCCTCAAGATCCTGATTCTGTATTTGTAAATATTTGCATATAGCGTGCTAGAACATGGGAGAAAGCCACTGCTGACTGAACACAACATCCCGCCACAGGAAACAATTCAAGGATAGTCACAGTCTTAATTTTAAATAGATTATGTCTCAGAAAAAAGTAATTTAGGATGATTGAAAAACAAAAATCCCTTACTCTCCCAATTTGGGTCCATTGTTGGTTTCTCTCCAAGCTTCCTGCTATCCTTCTGTTCTCAGGACCACTCCTTAGTCTCTTTGCAGCTACATTACTATGGTCTGGTCACATGACCGCTGATGCCACAAACTGAACTCAGCATAGGGTTGGTCATGAATTGAAAGAGAATGCAAGAAAGGGGCATTTTCATTTTGTGAAAATATTTCTTAGGCTACAGGCGCAAGAAGAGAAAAAAGCATCCTGTATCCTTTTATACTGGCATTGAACTTGAAGGACTAACGTTTATACTACAACTGATATAGGGAGACCGTGTTTCCCATTTGAAGGTGTTCATTATTTACAGGACTGTCTGCTGCAAGTCTGGTTTAAAAGACCAAGAAGCATTCAAAGGAACTAAGTCAGTTGCCCATCAGCTGGTGCCATGTGAGCAACAGGATCAGGTCAGGAAACGCAGGTCTCTTGGTCACAAACATCTTCACTGTACTGAGGTGTTTCTATTTAAATTATAGTCATCATGTCAAAATGCCATTTCATATGCACATTCAAATGAGCCTATGCAAATGTTATTCAAATAGCTGTCCTCTTCTATCCTCTGTTTTACTGATGTAACACATATCCTCTTTTTTCGGCAGGGCAGAATATTGACAATATCCACAGAAAAACTGAGGTGTTGAAAGTAATACAGAATGGCAGAAAGTTTTGGTGAAGTGTCAGAAATATTTATTCATTTATTTATTTAAAACTTTTCTATATCATCCCATGCTTAAAAATCTCAGGATGGTTTACAGTAAATTTACAGAAAACAAATCATTAAAAGCACATTTAAAATAATGCTTTAAAAACAATATAGCATAACAGAACCGTTGAGCCATGTATAGTGTTAAGAGTATCAGATCTGGGGCCTGTTTCTATTTCCCACTTGGCCATGAGGGACTTTGGGCCAGCCAGGCCTGCTCAACAAGGTTGTTGTGAGGACAAAACAGAGAGAAGAACCATGTGAGCCAGTTTCCATTATAATACAGCTAATCAATGAAATACGGTCAGCATCCATAAATCTGAATGGGTGCACATACAGTACGTGAAAGATCTAAGCATACTCCCATGAACCCTGCAATCATCCTATCTTTACCTTTCCCATTGACTCTGATGGGAAAATCATGTGGGTATAGCCATCCAGATTGTAGACAAGCAGTAGAATAGGCTGATAGGTATGACTCAAGCATTCACTAACTTGGTAATAAAGCATTAATTTCCTTGAATCCATAACATTGCTCTTTGACATTCCGGTGTTCTTTCTTTTGGCAATGATGTGGCATTTAATGCCTTTCACACACCTAGTGACATTATTCTAGCAAAGAAATTACTTGAATATATCTTTGGTACTGTTAGATATGGCTCATACAATATTCTAATCACTTCAGAGACACACTTCTGGTCCATTTCCTTTCCGATAAGGCAAGCAAAATTCCACATGCCTTTAGCCTTTCCTGTTCTTTCTTTTTGTCTCAGGCTGGCAAATAAAATACTAACTCTTACTGTGCATTTTGTTGCATCCTCACATTAGCCAAGTGGCATGTGACACAGGAATGTTGGGACTGGATTTACCAGTGTCTTTTAAAGATCTTATGCAGCTGAAGAGGATGCAAATTTGACTGGAATTGCTTAAGGAAGATGCTTCCCTTCACATCATTTTCATAAGCTAACTCATATAACACACAACCCATCGGGCCCCCTCTTGCTCACAAAGACAGGTACCTGTATTTCCCTTTTCTCCCAGCTGGTGTATCAGTGGTCCCCCTCAGGGTGATTTAGATTGGAAACAGATACAGGAGAGATCATGAGTCAATGCTCCGCCACACCATGGTCACAATTATACCTGAACTGTGCATGTCCTTCTATAGCATTATAGCATTTATAGCATTGTATAAAAAGGCAGTGGGAGATCTGACCACTAGCCTTATCCAGCCCTCAATGGTATATTTTTCTGAATGTGTGCCAAGCATTTTCCATGACCAAAGAAAACAGAATGGTTGGGAAACCTGATTGCAGGTCTGTTGTTTTGACCCTAAGTCACCCAGTGGCAGAAGACAATCTCCGATTCGTTTCAGCAGAGCATTACTAGACGTTCTAGATGGAAGCACTTCATGATTCATTCACTTATATGCATAGCCCTTCTTAGCTGCAATGGAAATGTAGCATTACAGAGAAGTATTTGCTTTAAAAGGGGGATCTTACCATTAATAAATACGTATATTGAGGATATGGTCTTCTTTCTTACAGCACTTGAGGATGGGTATTTGCAGCTATAATGTCCTGTGTCACTTGCTTGAGCTTGGTTTAAGGTCAGGCTGCTACAGAACTGTTTGTCATTCCTTCCACAACTATATGACGATATACTGAGTCGTTTGCTGTCTTTACTCAGACTTTCAGGTGTAGACCATGAAAGGGCCACTTCCCCACTGGAAATGGAGATAAGAAAACCAAATTATTTTAGTGCTAGAATTATACGGAACAAATTCCCAAGTTTTCATTTTATTGCATCAAGCTCTTTCAGGATCTCCGTATACAAGATCATTCCCCAGAATCAGAATAATAACCCATCCACGCCTATTAAACTATGGCTGCTATCACCCTTCCAATAATGGGTTCCTCTCTCAACCCACTGCAGTTTCAAGCTAGAGCAAGGGCATATTAACTGTAGGCCAAAACTGATCCCAGTTGATTACCTGCAGATGATGTTTAAAGTGTCTCCTTCTTGTATGACATGTTGCATTCCTGGTATATTTAATTTTGGACCTTTCCATTTGGACCCTGAACTAGATCCTGGAAAACAAATACAAAACATTATTAAAACCAGTGGAAAACCTGCAGAACTTTGTAACCATTCACATTCATATGCCTTTAATTAAGACAGCTTCAGTCACTCCACTCAGTCCATACCATGAAAACACTGTGGACGATATGGTTTACCTAGATTTATCTCAGTCTAGATGTAGGCCTACAACTGGTACTGAAATGCCATAATGGATGACCTCCATTGGAGGAGAGACTGAGGAAGTATGACCCTATTGAGCCTCTTAGTTCTCATGGTGGCTTTTGAAAAGTTCCACCAAGATATCTTGGGTCACCTCTGAGATCTCCATGAAGGTCCTGTACCTGCTCTGCTGAGATGCTACAGACTCTTCCTGGTACTCTCATTGAGTGTTGTGCACTGAGGGGAAATGTTCACTTTGCTTGGTGAAGTCACAGGGACAGCCACCACTGTACCTTCACTGTGTCAGCCATCGCTGATCCTTGCATTCCATGCCTAAGTAATGTGTGACTAGAAGAGTTCTGAAGGATGCTATAGGAATGCCTACTACAGGGCTGATATGTATGAGATGGTTAGTAAAACTAGTCTGTACTGCAGAGGATGTCAACTTTACATGCAACCACTTCTACTTTTGGTGGCCTGCTAATATGAGAACAGTAGTACTTTAAGCAAACAGCAGGAAATGAATTACTTCTTGAACATACTACAAAATAGTCAGGAAGATAAAGGCATGTCTTTACAGGTATATGAGCTATCACCATGTGAAACATTTTATGAAATCTTTGATCTTCAGATAATTTAAATAAAAGCCTCCCTAACTACGTGAATTTTGAAGTAATTTTCTTCTCTGTTTCTACATTTTATATTGTAAAATAGCTTAGTGAAAAAGGCAGATTCTATGATTTCAGCTTTTTTCTTCTTTTATTGAAAGAATCTTCTCAAATAACACCTTTTCCCCTTTTTGCTTGCTATATCAGCTTTACTCCGTCTTCTAACAAATTGACTGGAACCTCTCATAGATTTTCATTCATTTTCTTCACATGCCCTAGTAAGGGCAGGCAGAGGTCAGAGCACAAGCTTTCCATGAGGATCTCAGGTTCAATTCCTGGAATCTCAAGTTAAGGCTCGGAAAGAATCTTGACTGAAACCCTGGAGAGCTGCTGCCAGTCAGTGTTGATAATACTGGGTTAGAGAGACCAATGGTCAGACTCATTATATGGCAGCTTTCTATCTACAGGCTGCATATTGTATTAATACAGGGGGATGTTACAGCCACTAGAAATCTTATATTCCCCCTCTCCAAGGATGGCCTGGAACTGTAGTCTCGGGTGCCAGCAGTCCGGCAACATCAATCACCTTGTGCTAGGAGAAACGATTGAGATACAGTTTTTCACTGTACTCACAGTTGTTCCTTCTAGTGCAAGGACAGTGCTGGATCCTGCCCCATGTGTGCTTTCTATATTAAACTGGTGATCGGGGATGTTTTGGACAACTACTGTTATCAATTATCTGAACGTTCAGGAAGCATCTTGACTTTATAGTTGCTGCCAGTAAGTGAATGAAATATATATTCGCCCTGGTAACTATGCCATTTTTAACAAATGACTTGAAGTGTGCAATTTCAGTATCTTCTGCACAGACTCATGGAGATACCTGGATTTATATATCAACATAGCAATCAATCTATTTACATACTGCACCATTTCCCTTTAAATATATACTAACTATATGAACTGGAACCTACAGCATTATTCCCTGAAAGCATACCTTATATTTTATTCATTTTTATATTATGATGAACGATATTGCAAAATTAAACTTATTAGCATCTCACAAGCATTTTAATAACCCTGTCTCTCTCTTTATGTTAGTTTGAAGCACATGTAGGGTTAAATCCTTGAGTTATTCAGTTCAGAACTTGATCAAAATTCAACACAATCAAGACAGTTTTCACTTCATAGCACTTCTGATCAGGCTACTTGTGGCTGAACCCCACAATAATATTGTTAATATCTGAAGAAAATTTGCCAGGAACTGGGCAGCTCTCTCATAGACAGGTCAAACTGTCCCCTCAGTGCAGGATCAGTGGACAATCAAGGGAAGCAACAGAGGGACTGGAATACGGAGAGGAAGAATAAGTCATGGCAAAGAGCAGATCATGGAGGGAAGAGACTCTTCCCCTCCTGTTTGCTCCATGAATCCTCCTTAGGTCAGCTTCGGATGTCACATTAAACACAGGTTAGCCCTGTGGAAACCTGCCTGCTGAAGTCTGAGGCTCCATTGCTCCCCCAGGACCAGCCACGCCCTGAATGAATCCTGGTCAGATTGTGTGGTATGGTGAGGCTTCTGCAGCTACTGCGGTTGCTACCGCACTGCCGCTGCTCACCCACTGTGGCAAATGCCATAGCAAAGAGCTGCCAGCAAGTATCGGGGTGTAGCACTGCACCCCCTTCCGAAGAGGACCAGAGCAAATGATCTGGAGGATGGGATCTTAGAACCCTTAAATGTGAGTCCAGGCAGGCAGCCAATTCCGAGAGCTGGGTGAACTGCTCTAGCTTTTGGAGAGACGTCAGAGTGATAGATCAGGCCTCTCTGGACTGTCCCTTTGGCCTGAGTGAGGCACTGTGAGATGGCCCCGGAGACTGTCAGGAAGGACCCCTCAAAGCATGGCATGCAGGACGGGGCAGCTTTCCAGAGACTGCAGCCAGGTCGCCCACGAGAGGAAGGGCTGGCAATAACGGCAGTGGGCAAGCAGTTGTGACAGCAGAATGCGAACGGCAGTGTCCGTCCTCCTACCTCAGGCAGGGGAGCCTCTTGTGCTGGGCTCTGCCTCTGCTCCTCAGTGTCGCTTAAAAGAACAGACCGGAAGCTTCCACTTCTCGGTTTAAACTAACCACTATTTGTATGTTTGAACTGGGTCAAACATTTGTTCAAGCCAGTTTGTTTATACCATGGTTTTTAAAAAAGAAAGCAAGTCCAGAGACAGGAAAATAGTTGTTTCTGATGTTGGCTTGTTTGAATGAATCAAGTTGAAGCAAACCATAGTTTCTGGTTCAGATTTAACGACAAACTGCAGTTATGGTTCAAGCAGATGAGTTTAAGCAATGTCAAAAAGGAAAAATGAATCCATTTCTATGCTAAATGCCATTGACTTCCTATATCCAATGGATCAAGGCATTATCAAATCACCTTTACATGCATAACCAGTCAGTGAAAGACCAAAAGAAAATTCTCCATTTACATTAGAAATTTGATATAATCTTACTACTACCACCATATCCTCTAAAAACAGAGTCAAATACATAAATATTTGGCCTTGGTATTCACAGATAGAGCTATTTCCACACACCTTTTAATTATTTAATTATTTTAGTCAAAGCTTGTACATGTTTACTCAGGTGTACGTCCAATTATTTTCAAAAAGGTTTACTCCCAAGAAAATGTACATTTGGTTGCAACTGTGCGATACAATCCTATGCACGATTTCTCAAAGGTAAAACTGACTCTATGGAATCAGACTTACTCATTAGTAAGCTTGATTGCTCAGCATTATTCAGGACTAAAATTCTAATATATAAGGCATTTTCTAGGAAAAAATACTGCCCTAAAAGTGTTATGTTATGTTAATTCTCTATGGCTTAGAGTCCAAGCCAATGAACAGAAACATGCATCATATAAAAACTGGCAATATTTTTCTAGGTTTTGCTTTCTCCTAATGTATTTGTTTTCATACCAGCCATCCGTCCTGGCTAAAATGGATTACCGTAGACAGGAATATAGTAATGGCTGATAAAACCTGAATGCACATCACATTTCCATGGCCCCTAGAAAGCATCCCATGGGCCACAAGATTGCACAAGAAAACACCCCCAGGGTTTTAGAACTCCAGCCTCAGGAGACTTCCCCCAACTTCAGGGCCTTCCCACTGGCCTTGCTGTGGAAGGTCCCTCATCGGATTCCAAACTGATTTACTGTAATGAGCACACAAGTTATGAATGAGATTGAAATAAATGCAACAGCTGGTTGACTGTAATTAATTCTGCTACACAACCAGAATATATAAATGAGGAAAAACCTGTGTGTGGCTTTTTAAAACAAAAGTATTAAGGAACAATACTGTATCTGTTCCCACATCTGCTGCTAAAAAGGAACAGACCTTAAACCAATTAATTATTATTATCATCATCATCATAGTTGTCGTCGTCATCATGATTTTACTATTACTCTCAAAAATCTAGGACTTTATGTCATTGTTATCTAGACTCTGAAAAGTAGTACATCCTAGAGGTTCTCATTTACCCTTAGTAATGTACATGGATAATCTCAAAGGCTCAATACTGTGAGACTGCAATTTCTGTCATGCTAGGAATATATTCAGGGCATGCTGTGCTACTGAAAAAGCAAAGTAAACCCAAACTGACCCAAACCCCAGTGACCTTTTAATTAATAAATAATATTGATTCACAAGGGGCAGTTTTGAATGGAGGAGTAGCGGGAAGGGAGGGAAAAAACCTTTTACCCACCAGCTATTTTTTTCTGTTCCAAATCACTCCCCAAGATGCTTCCTACAGGAATCCAAACTAATGCTTCCCCTCTGGATGTCTAGATCATTTTCTCATTTGTTAACTTTAATCCCCGCCCTCCTTTTCTCCTACTGGAGCATAGCAAGGGTTTGAGCCATTGTCGGGGAGCCTGTTATTAGAGAAGTGGGATCCTCCATCTCAAGCAGTTTCTAGCACTCCAACCATTTTGTCACAAGTATGACAGCACTTTTGGCCAGACTACCTAGCCAGCCAGATCAGCCAAACAGATTCAAATTATGTGAGGGTGAGCTATAATGCATTCCCATGCATGCTTACTCAGGAGAAAGTCCCACTACATTCAGTGGGGCTTATTGCCTAGTAGGCATGCATATGATTGCAGCCTTAACCTATAGTTGGGAAAAGTAAAAGAAATCAATAGACATTGTTCATAAGACCAGCAATTTTGTCCCTAGTTATGTATACTTTGA